AATTTTTTTAGTAAATCATGTTGTTAGTTTGATACACAATGTGTTGTTCAAACTTCAACCTACTAAATTAATCTACTAAAACATCTACTAAAAAGTGAAAATTATTTTTCAGTTGTTCTCCTAAGGTGTTGATAAATTGTTTAATTAATACTGGTTTCTGTTCTTTTTCTTTTCAAATGGTTTATAACATTTTCATATTTTTAACTTCATTTTCAACTTCATTTTTCAACTGTTTTTAGAGATTGAGAATCATTGAAAAATTGTTTTTAACTTTACAATTATAAAAAAGTCAATATATTTTAATTCAATTTTTTAACTATATTGATTAAAGTATAAAATCTTATTTTCAGTTAAATATTTATAAAGTCTGTTATACATAATGCGCTCATTTGGTTTAGAAAAGTTGGGCAAGACTGAAATATATCTTTAGTTTAAAATATTAGACTTGTCACCAGATTTCTAAATAGGTTTTATTTTTGCAATTTTTTATTTATCTGGAATATGATCTGATTTAAGTGAGAAATAATATGAGGGTTCGATAATATTAAAAACAGATATATTTACAGTAACATTAATTTGGTCGATATCTGCACTTTTTTTTACTATTATTATTAAAAGCATTATACAGTTCACAAATTTTCAAAATTGGTTTGCCCATAATTATATCAGTTGTTGTAAGATATAAATTAAATCCTTTTAAAAAGGCTGATCACATCATATGCATTACACAAAACTTTTGGTACACTGATAGCTAGATGACAAGTTATGCGTAAACTAGGATTGTCAATGTCCCAGTTTTTCTATAGGAGAATGTAATGAGAATTTTAAATTTAATTTAGCATTTCACTTAAAAACTTTAAAACCCAACTTTATTTTAGACACAAATGTTTGCGCACTTAAACCTACTGCAGCTTTGATGCAGTGGTTAGAGTTCTGGCTTAGAATCAAGAAGTCCGAGATTCAACTACTGATGCCAGTATTCAAAGTGCAGAGAAAGTTGAGTGTGGTAATTGAACTCAAGATTTTTTGCTTATTAGGCGAGTATTCTACCACTAAACAGCTACCACATTTATGACTTAAACACATTTATGTCTAAAGTTAACAAGTTTGTTAATAAAGTATATTTATAGAAATACCTTCAACCTTGGGTTCTCAGGATTTTTTGGGATGAATACTTCATTCCTTAAAACTCTGGGTAATTGATTCAAAAAAGTTTAAGAAAAAAAAAATCGAAGTCTGAAATCTAAGAAGTCCCAATTTTTTGACTCTGGAGTCCAAAGTCCTAGAGTTCCTTATAATCAATAGGACCTGGTGTTGGAACATTTACTGGCAAATAGGTAGAACATGCTTGGTGTGCTGCTTCATTGACTGAGTGTTTTGGTTTGGGCAAGTAATGTATCAATTAAAATATATTATATATACTCTTGCTTCGTTGTTTTTAATTTTTACCATAAAATGTGAATTTTTTTTTTTAACTTATTTAGGATACAAAAGTTTAAGAGCTTAAAAAAAATATTTTTTAATTGATGGATTACCGGCCCAAACCAAAACTCTCAGTCATTGTATCAGCACTCCTCACATAATCTGCCTATTTTCAGTTAATGTATGTAGTAAAAAAATAATAACAAAAACAGTAAAAAAAATAATAACAAAAACATTCAGAATGATTATTTTTTAATTAAAAATTATTTTTTAATTTTTATTTTTTAATTAAAAAAATAAAAATCATTGCAGTCTACTATTTGTATTTTTATGGTTTTTTAAAAATGATCAAATTTAATTAGTTTACTTAATTGAATTGTTATTGCATTAGATGTCCATCATTTTTACATTAGGCGTCCTTCATTTTTGTTTATTTTAAAGACAAAAAGTTGTTAAGATCTATTTTTTACCATAAATGATAAATTTAGATGCCGAACTATAGGAACTGGTGGCAATCATTGGCCATATGTTTTTAAATCAAGAAATTAAATAACTGTTAAAAGATACAAATTAAGCAACGCCATAAGGTCTGATGTCAAATATCTAATGCAACATTTTAATAAAATTTTTATTTATTTAATAAATTATTAAATAAATAAAGACATTTTATAAATTTAATAAATGTCTTTATTTGAAAATATTTCAAATAAAGACAACCAAAAAGAAAAATAAACTGGAATAATGATTTATATCAGTTTATAAAAACTTATCAACCAATAATATTGATGAGCTAGCTATTTTACTTTAAGAAGCAAATGGATAACGCGCTCTTGTTTAGTGTTTTTTTTATAAAGATGTACATTATAAAAAAAACACTAAAAAACAACTATTGGAATCAAAATGTGAAAGATATTTATGATGAATAACGTTTTTACAATCTAAAGACAATAATTTTGATTCAATATTTCAAAATAATTACAAAAGTTCAAAGTTTTTTGCAACAAATAATGTACTAAATTCAAATTTTATAGACATAATAAACTATAAAAGGTAACAATACTATATCAATTAAATTGAAATGAATTCTGAAAAGAAATCAAAACAGTGTGAACAAATCATTAAAAGAAAAAATTTATCCAAGAGAAAATTAGTAAACAAACCTCTAAAAAAAATTAAAAAATAACAAGGCAATTAAATACATGGGTGCAAAAATGATGCAACTCCATTTTCACAAATTGTTCACAAGATAATAATATTACAAAACCATGCATGGAGCTAATGAGTTTCAAATACTCAAGCATTAATCCTAAAATTATCTTAGGTGTATTTAAAGAGTTTTTATGTCATGCAAAAAGAATATGCTCTCAAAACACTTTCAACAAGAAGTTGATTTTATAATAGAACTATTTCTTGAAACTGGGAACGACAAGAACAATCTAAAAACAAAAGATTTAAAAAATACCAATTGACAACCAACCATTTATAAAACTACCATGGGTACCAATCTTGGAAAAGAACTTAGAATAAAACATAAAAGTTATATTTACATCAGCTCCAAAGTTAAACAATATATTCTGCAACAATAAGACAAAACTTCCTCCAAATACAAACCCAGGCATCTACCAACTAAAATGATGTTGCTGATCATCAAAATATCAAGCAATATAAATTAAAATAAAAACAAATATTTTTTCAAAAATGTTTTTATGATGCTATATTTCTTGAATTCTACAGATATATATATAAATGTATATATATATATATATATATATATATATATATATATATATATATATATATATATATATATATATATATATATATATATATATATAAATATATATATATATATATATATATATATATATATATATATATATATATATATATATATATAAATATATATATATATATATATATATATATATATATATATATATATATATATATATATATATATATATATATATATATATATATATATATATATATATATATATATATATATATATATATATATATTAGGTCACATGATTTGTTTTTAATTACTTGAAACATTTTAAAAATTATTTAAACTGTGAATAAAATAATTAAAAAATTTAAAAGGTTTTTTGAATTTTTATTATACTTATCTGTTTAATTTTTTTAGTTACATTGATTTTTAACTTTATTTTCTTTAATAAATTTATTCTCTAAATCAATAATATAAATACATTTAGATAATAAATAAGAATTTTATTCTCTAAATCAATAATATAAATACTATAAATACTACTGTTCACTAAATCAATAATATAGATAGATCAATTTAAGTTATATATCATCTTAAAAAAAATCTCAAAAACTTAAAAAGTTTAAATTGATCCAATATTTTTTTGTTTATGCATTATTTAATAACATATTTATTAAGACAATTAATTTGTTCAGAGAACAAACTTATTTATATTATTTATTTAGTTAACAAACCTATTTATATTACATATAAACCTTTAAAACTATATAGTTTCAAAGGTTGAAAAGATTCCAATCAAGCTATGCAAGCTGTGGTCATAAATTTTTTTAAAGTTAAACTTTAAAGTCTTTTTCTTTATCTTTTAAACATCGATTTAAGTTTGATGTATTAATTGCATTTAATGCATTGACTGTAACAATTGAATTTGTTTCAAATATTTAGAATGAAATTCGTAGAGAAATTTTATTTGGTGTGCAGTCTTTTACCAGCTTAGATGCGGTAGTGGTGTAGTGGTAGAGCGCTCGCTTCATAAACGAGTGGTTCCGAGTTCGATCCCCACCACGTCCCTGGTAGTACCGCGCTCAACTCGTTTCTCCGCGCAGCGGCCTTGTTCATCAAGGTTCGTGTTTCAGAGTTATAGAGTTGAGAGAGGGTTATAACCACAAATAATTAGCCTCCTCGTCTGTAGTGGCCTTCTCGGCCCTGAGGAGGTGAATTAAAATAAAAATAAAAAATTTTTAATTATAGTTGTGACCATGTTCATGTGACATGTGACCATGTTCTATTATTAATTAATGGTAATTGTTAATCAAAGTTGCTAAATTTCAATGAATTTAGTTTTTTAAATATTTTATACTTTGGAGTTGCATCAGCTCTTATATATCTCTAATTTTGTAATTTTAAGTATATCAATTCTATTTTATTATATTAACATAATAAAGTTAATGCTGATGTGGTAGTAGTGTAGTGGTAGAGTTCTCACTTCATAAGTAAGAACTTCTGAGTTGGATCCCCACCACATCCCTGGTATTACCATGCTCAACTTCTTTGCATAGCAGCCTTGTTCATCAAGGTTTGTATTTCAAAGTTAAAGAGTTGAGAGAAGATTGTAACTACAACAAAGTAACCTCCTTGACTGTAGTGGCCTTTTTGGCCATGGGTGAATAACATTAAAATAATAATAATAGTAATAATAACAATCTTGTTCTAATTTTTTAATATCAGGTAAAAAATATGGAGACCAAATAATAATTAAAAATTTATGTTTGTTAAAAAAATGTTTTTCCTGTTTAAATTATTTTTAGTTGAAAAAATTATAATAAAATTTGGTGAAAAAATTGTTTAGAAATATAGTGATTTGTTCAAAAATGATTTTGAAATAAAAGATAAAGAAAATGAAGATGAAGATGAAGAAATGTTTTTAAAGAATAAAAGTACAACTCATTATGGTATTTAAAATTATTCAGCTTTCAATTTAATCGGCATATAAACTTATTCAGCATTTAAACTTGTTCAGCTTTCTTTTCATTTTTTGTAATAAATTTCTGCAAATCATTATTAATTTGGTTTATTTCTTTTTAAATGATTTCATTGGTTAGATTTATAATGATTTAATTAGTTTGTTTTATAATTTTTTTATTTCTTAGATGAATATTGGTTATATTTGTTTAGATCATGAAAATTTTGTCTCTATTCAAAACCAAACACAAAAAAATGCTTCTGATATTTTATTCCTACAAAAAAGTCTAACAGTTTTACAAAATATATTATCGTCTAATAGTACAAATGAGCAAAGTGAAGACATTTTAAATAATCTTTCAGATGCTTCAAAGAAAATTTTATGTAATACTTCAGATTCTTCAGAGAAACTTGAAAGCATTACTTCAAAAAATATTATAGATAATCCAAATCAAATGTATAAAGATTTATCAAATCAGTTGTTTTTATTGCAAGAGGAGCAAAAAAAGTTATTAAGAAATACTGAAAGTTTTTCAAAAGAAGTTAGAGAAGAATTATCACACGAACAAGTATTTTTTATTTAAAGATTTTTTTGTAAATAAAACTATTTAAACCATAATTAAAAAATCATATTAAATTTACCCCTCAAAAAAAAAAAAACTACATTTCTTTGAGAAATACCCTAAAGATTCTGACATACAGTGTATAAGACTTTTCTGCCCTTGTATCTTTGAAACACACAGTTGTATCTTTGAAACACACAGTTGTATCTACAGTATTTACTAATCTCATCCACAATGTGCAGAACTGTTTAATTGTTTTAGATTTTTATTCTTATCATTATTGTATTTATTATTTTATTACTAGCTGTCATGACCCATAAAATATGAGTCTTGGTAATGTATTCCACACCAACTTTTTCTATATTTAATCTTTACTTCAATATTTTTGAGTAAGCAGTAAAAAAATAACTATATAAAAACTATACTAATTGTTTACATTTTAAAGTTATAAAAAAAAATTTCTATTATAAATAGTTTTAAAAAACTTTACCTGTTTTGGTATACGTTGCCTTTTATCAAAGAATTGAATATTAGTACCAGTCTAAATAATATTTAGAACACCTGCTTGAAATGAGTTAATTAATTACCATCGAAGATATAAGAAGTTTCAAAAAACATGAGATGACTTAAAAATGTGGAACAACGGACTCACTATGATTTGTATAATACTGGTTATGGTAAGTCTATTTCACACCGACCATTTTAATAACTTCTCTTTATTTCAATTTTTAAAAAAGAAATAAATATTAAAATCTTGTAACTTTTACTAATTTCTATAAAAAATAAAATAAAACGAGGACTGCAGTTATTTTTTTTTTTTATAAGTTTCTATTAATTTTTTTTTTCCCCCGTCAATTTTAAAGAAAAATCAAGTTTGCATGTAAAATCTTTTTCTATAAGAAAGTTGCCTTTTTAATGCGCAAACTTAACTAATTACCAAGCACATTAACAACTTAAGTATCTCTGTCATGACATGCTCCACAAATTTTTAACAGCGTAATCATGCTTTTAGAAATTTTAAAAGCTCTTAATGTTCTTAGAAATTTTAAAAAAACTTTTTGAAAAAATCTCTCTTTTGTATATTATAATATAATATCTTAATAAATGTTATGCATTTAATATTTATAGACTTTTAAAAATGTTTTATTTTTTATTCTAGAAAATTGAAAAAAAATTTTAAAAAATGAGGTGTGAACAAAAAGGTTTGAACCCATATGAAGCACTTCAACCACTTTGACATGTTTTAAAGAAATAAAAAAATGTGCCACATGTATTAACTGGAAATAAATTTATTTATACATAATAGCAAAACAAAATATATAAAGAAAAGTATATGTTTACAAAAAATATTTAACTAAATTTGCATTATCAATTAACAATTAGTAGATAAACCAACTACATAAATAATAATTATAGATGCAGCGTTTTTTTATCCACACTCTATATTAAAAATATATATTAAAAAAAAAAGGCAGGGGGACATTTTTGCCCTAAATTGGAGCCCACACCTTGTTTATTGTGGGCCCTCTATTTGTTCTGCAAAATGCTGAAAAAGCATTGTAAGATATGTTTAAAATCAAAGATTGACACTGCAAATTAATTTACCCTTGGTTGATATTTTTTCTAGAGCATGGTTAAAAATAATCAAAAATTTGTAAGAAAAAAAATTTATTTTATCTGTAAAAAAAAAAAATTTATTATATGTATAAAAACATTTATTGCAAAGACAAAATAGCTATCAAAATAACAAATCATAATAGCTATCAATGCAAATAAATAATGTAATTTGATCAGAAAATAAAATTATTCTTACCTTGGTTACAAAAATTAATTTCTTTTTAAACTATTAGCTAATGATCAACATAGTAAAGTTAAAATAATTAAAGTTTATTAAGTTAAAACCATATTTTTACAGTCGACAAAGTAAACATATAATAGTCAGTAGACCACCAAAGTAGAACTAAATAAATAGAACTAAATAAATAGAAGTAAATAAATAGAATAACAACTAAATTTTAAATGTTTTTAATACATAATATTTGTAGTATAAAATATAACTCTACAATCACAAGATAATGAGGGTAAAGTTGTAAAAACAAACAAAAAATTGAAAGTTTAGTAAAATGGTCATTTTTTCATAATTATGATCCTTTTAAGGGCACATAGAAAAAGAACATACACAGTTAAAAATTTTTAAGTTCTTTTATATTGTAAGTCCTTAATAGACCTATGAATACCTGTGATAACTGTTAATTATTATGAAAATTATTAACTGCAATATTAAGTATTAACAAAATTTTAAATGTATTATTTTGACATGGAGAACCATAAACACTGTCACAGCAGCTCTTGAATTATTTTAATATTTTGCATGTTCTGCTGACTTAAATTTTGATGGTGTTTAGCGTAAAAACAATTAAAAAAAAATGTAAATTTTTTAAGAAACTTGAAAGATTCTTTAACTTTATAAAATTTAACCTGAATATCATCACCAGATAATAACACTATACTTAATAATTAGATTCAAATAAAACATGATTAAATATAAACAAAAAACTAACATAAACAAAAGTAGGTATGTGACATAAAAATTTTAAAATGATTATATACTAGATTGTTATATATCATTAGAAAGAGCTTCAATACAGTATTTTAAAGGTGAAAAAATTATAAAAAACCAAATTACTTACCAAAAGTTATGACATTTTAAGTACCGATTTTTCGATATGTGGATTTGTTGAAGAAACTGTGGTCAACGTTTATTTATCCTTTACAAAATTGTTATAACTTTGTCAATACTTATTTAAAAATTTATATCTTGGTATCAAAAGATAGGTGGATGAAAGGACTATGTGTTTAGATTAGTCACTTGTCAACGGGCAGTTCCTGAGAGTTAGAGGGGGCACTAAACCACTGCCTTTACCATCCAACAAATGCAAACTTCATCAATAAAAGTGTGTATTTAAATAAAGTTGTAGATTTTTTTATACAAAAAGTTGTTATTGTTTCATTTTACATCCCAAGGAAACATTAGAAGTGTATCTTATAGTTAGGGTGGATGTGATGGTGATGGTTTAATGCACCCTTGTATAAAAAAATTATTTATATTTTTTTTATGAAAACTATTATAACAATTATAAAAAATTAAATTTATATTTTACCTGATTACAACATATACCAGTGGTGCTTAGCTTGACATATGAACGGGTGGGAGGGAGTAAGGGTGTATGGTCCTCCCCTCTGCCTTTGACCTAAATCCTGAAAAAAAATTAAATTACTTTTAATGTGTGCTAAAGCTACTAAAACAAAATTTAAATGCAACTATGATACCTCATGTTGCTTGGTATAACCAAAGTGGGAGATGTTCTGCCATTTTAACTATCCAAAAATACATATTTCTTTAAACTAAAATCAAAATTTTATTTTTATATTCATTATTTTATCTTTATATTCATTTTTTTATCAAAATTGTTAAAAAATTAAATTTATATTCTACTTGATTACTATATATACCAGTGGTGCATAGGTTGACATAGGAAAGGGAGGGGTAAGAGGTGAGGAGGGGGAGAAAGGTATATGGTCCTCCCCCTCTGCCTTTAAGCTAGACCAAACAAAACAAAATTTTTTATTGTTTTTACTGTTTGCCAAAGTTTCCAAAACAAAATTTAAATGCAATTATGGTTCTTTGTGTTGCTTGGTATAATCAGAATGGGTTGCTCCACCATCTTTACTATCTGAAAATACATATTTCTTTAAACTAAAATAAAAGAATGATGCAATTCTACAATTATTTGTGTTGTTATAAAATGTCTAAAAATTATTGTTAAAAACAAGCTAAAAATTATATTTTTATCTGTGTTATGTTCATTTCCTTATCTATTTTGCAAGTTTCATCACTTGCAATATCTTTTGCAAGTCACAACACCTGCGATATTTGTATAGGCATTATTGAACATAAAATTATGAAAATAGTACACATTAAGACTATCAACAAATAACACACATTAATAATAATAATATTTTTTTCTCCTGAAACAACATAAGCAGCAAGCTGGAATTTTTTAATGCAATAATCAGCATTTTCAGAATCCGTTTCATCTTGTTGCCAGTAATAAAAAATATAAATTCTGTCTTGCAATATTTTCTTTACTTTTTCTACTCTGCCATCATACATGACAGACTTAGATTCTTCTGTATCATACCATTCATGGTATAACTTTCTACCAACAATTCTCTCAGACATAATATCATCTAAGTCATCAAGTTGTTTTGTAGTCAATTGTTTATACAAATTCTTTATTTGGCTGAAAATCAACTGAAATCAGTTTTTCCTCTAACTTTCTTTTTTTCTTTTTCATGTAATATTTGGCATTTGCATGTTTGTCTTTTATAAATAACTGAATAAATTTGAGCATGTTGTAAACAAATATTCTTTCATTACAAATATTATTTCTTTCATTTCAATACCATTGCTGAAGACATTAATCACTTTTGACAATAGTGACTTGATCAACTTTTAAACAATTCTGGTAAATAAGTATTAAGAAAATACGGACAGGTTTAGTTATAATTTTAGTTAAAATAATAACTAAAGTTATTTTAGACTTTTATTAAAAAGCTCTTAATCAATAGAAATAGTAAAATCAACAATAGAAATAGTAAAATCAAAAATTTTAAAAATTTAAAATCCTTTTTCCATGTCGATATCTAAAGTTTATCTAATTTCTAAATATAATATTTAAAAAAGAATTTAATATACCAGATGTAAAATGAAATCAAATATTATTTTAATAATTTTAAAAATAATGTTATTATATTATTATTATAATCATTAATAGTATTTTCATAGATTTAGTAACTACAATGTTTTATAATATTAAATACAATAATAATAAAATTAAAATTTACAATATTATTAATATGATTATACTAGGAGTTAAGTCAATAACAATGCATTTGTTCTAAACGAAATTCTCAATCTAATATCACCCTTCCCCCAATACAGAACTCGGACAAAAGGGATTTTAGGTACCAAAACTTTTTTCGGCTCTGCAAAATGCGATATTCGCGTAACTAACAAAAGCAATAAAAAATTAAAAACTATTTACTTATATCTAATATAAAGACATCTTCAGCTTCTATAGAACTAGTAGCTTGCTGAGAAACAATAACACATCACCTACAAAACAGAACATGTTTCATTAACTGAAACATTAAAAAATTAAAATTTAGTAACTTTAAAATCAGATTGCAAAATTCCAAAATATACATACAATTTATAAATAAAAGTATATTCAATAATTATAATTTTTATGATAATGGTTTTTAGATATTCAAAGATATTTCAGAGATTTATATGCTTACTGCACGCACATCTACAGTGCCTCGAGCTTCATAAGTTAGAGGCGTTCAAACTGACTCTTCCAATACTATACGGAGTACAACATTTTTTTAAATAATTTTCTAAAATCTGTGATTGTTGCGTACTTGGTTTAAAATATTTAAAGAGGGCATGGTAAAATAGCTGTAAAACTCTAAATTTCTTTATTATGGTAATATTAAATAGTTTTAACTTTTAATTTTTTTTTTTTTAATGAATTTTATAAAATGGTTTAATTTAATAATAAAATTAAAATTTTTAATTATGTTTTTATTAAAAATATACTTTTTGAACTCCCTTACCATTTTAAAAAAAGTTAAGGTCACCATGTAGTAAGTTTAAATCATCAGCTTTTTTAATTTTATTTAAAATGAAAATCATAAAAACTTTATGGTTCTATAGATTTTATATTCTATATATAAACATACAACATGTTTATATATAGAATATAAAATCTAAATACTTATTTTCTTTGCACAAACTCAATTTAGTTGTAAATAAACTTGAAATGTAAAACTAAAATAACATAAGATATCAATGACACATACGTAACAAATATCTCACCATTTTTTAGTGTTTTTGGAATTTATAGCTTTTTTAAAAATCTTTTTGTTTGTTAAAGTGTATAATATAGTGAGTGTTCTCAGCAGGGGTTGAGAACCCAGGATTGATGGCCTTTTTTAAAGAATCCAATGGACAAAATTTTTTTTTTTAGTTTAACATATTTTTCAATTTGGCATTTTGTGTGTTTTGTTGGTCTAAAATAGAACTTATTGTATTTTGGAGTTCTTTTTTGCAGGGTTTTTTTGGAGTTCATTTTCCAATTCAACTTATGATGTTGTTTCTATTAAATTATTTGCATTAGCTGAAGATTGCATCATTATTATTATTAACATGCAAAAACAAAACAAATATATTTTTGGATGTATTTATTCCATAATTTGACAGCCAATGAAATTGCTGCATTGTTTGAGGAATATTTAAAATGATCATTAAAACTTATTTTCACCCTGTAGAAAAATAATAATAAGAGTCATTAAAACTGGATCTCTTCTCTTGTTCAACCTTTTTTTGATAACATGTGTTAGTTTTTTGGCTATACCAATTTGGATTGGTTGCATTTTTTCAAACAAAAATTTGTAAACTCTTTTAGCTGTCATGAGATTTGCATCATTTTTATTTTATTCTGTAAATGACAGTTTGACACCGGTGCAAGAACTTCATAGAAGCTTATTATTACTTATTCTAACTTAAGTCGATTGTTCTCAAATTGCTTGATTTTTTATTTATTTAGCTCTGCTTTTAGTGTATAATCACATGTGCTATACACTAAAAGTAAGTGATATGTAATTGTATATGGGCAAAAATATAATTAGCATTTGTAATAAAAAATTCAAATTTTTATAAATCTATAAAGCTGCTAATAAAGCTCTTTCAAGATCCAAACTGTTGTTAAGTATTCAAACTGTTGCTAGGTATCCAAACTGTTGCTAGGTATCTAAACTGTTGCTAGATATCCAAAGTTATTAGGTTGTTAAAGTGTTCCAAAATAATATTGGCAGTTAGACAATAGGAGTTTCTCCACTAAATATTATTAAAAAAACACCTGTTACATTAGATTAAAAACTGAAGATCTAGTGTAAAGTTTTGTGTAAATGTAAATATTTTTGTAAATGTATTTGTATGTATACAAATTAAAAAATATAAAATATTAAACTTTATTTAGAAAGAAATTGATGTTTTACACAAGCAAATAGAAAAATTAAATACAAAGATTTTTTCAAAGAAAAGTTTAAATGATGGAGATATCAACAATTATGACAAAGTCAAGAATGACAATGATGACATTAGATCTGAAATACCTGAAAAAACTGTTCTCAATGAAAAGGTTTTTTTGATTAATTACTAAATGTTTACTTTTAGTGTTTAAAAAAAATAACTATGTAAATAGAGCCAGACTTTTTTTTTCTCAGGTCCTATGTGGCTCTGAATCTTTGATTACATCAGATTTATATCTGGCTTGTATATTGTACATGTATATATATATATATATATATATATATATATATATATATATATATATATATATATATATATATATATATATATATATATATATATATATATATATATATATATATATATATATATATATGTATATTTAAATATATATATATATGCAATTATATAATATATATGCATATATATATAGCCAGATATAAATCTGGTGTAATCTGGGTGGATATATATATATACATACATATATATATAAATATATATATGCATGTATATATGTGTATATATATATATAAAATATATATAAATATATATATATATATATATATATATATATATATATATATATATATGTATATATATATATATATATACTGTATATATATATATATATATATATATATATATATATATATATATATATATATATATATATATATATATATATATATATATATATATATATATATATACAGTAGCGTGCAAAAGTGACCGGACAAGCGCATAACTTGAGATAACTTTTGAGTGAAAATTTCAATTTATTCCAAATTTTCACTGAAATGTCTAAAATTGATAACAATTCTAAAAACAAATGAATTTTACTAAATCTAAGCAATATAATTTTAAAAGTTCATTTTATTGAAATATGCGTGTGCAAAAGTATCCAGGCAGTACTAAAATAATAAAATTACAATACTTTTGTTGGCTTTTATTTAATATTTAAAAACGGTAAACAAAGCATAAAGTATTTCAAATTAAAAAGAAGATTGTTTCGAATAAGTTTTAAATTGACAAAACGAAAGTATACAAGTTTAGCTTTCAAAGAACCGATATTGCGTGCAATTGAACAAGGCAGAACTAAAAGGGACATAGTGGATCAGTTTGATATAAGAAAATCAACAGTAGCAGATATATATAAAAGATATAAGGAAAGAAATAACAATAGAATCTCTCCAAAGTCAGGAAGGCCTTGAATTACATCTGAAAGACAAGATAAAATTTTAGTTCATGTCGCAAAAAATGATCCACGCAAAAATGCTGTCTTGTTAAATGCTGAAATGAAAGAATTTTATAATGTAAAATGTAGTGTTGACACAACCAAGCGTCGTTTGAGGTCTGCAAATCTATTTGGAAAACGTCTTGCAAAGAAACTATTTATTTCCATGAAGAATCGAAAACCATACTTGAGATTTGCTAAGTAACATTTGAATTGGTCAAGAGAACAATGAAAGTACTTTTCAGTGATGAATCTTAGTTTATGTTATTTGGATCTGATGGTATTAGATATGTATAAATATATTAGATATAACAAAAGAAAGCTAAAGAAATCTTTACTTTAGTCACTACATCTTACAGTAATATAAACTGCGAGTCTATACTAACTAGAACTAATCTTCTATTCAGTCAATCCTCTAGTGAAAGAATACAACAAATCTTTTCTAACCCTGTATCAGCTTACAAACAATCACCTAATTTACTGAGTAAACTTACTTCTGCTAAATTTAATTCTGTACCACCTAACAATAAAAATATAGGTATTTTTAAATGTAATGATAGTCATTGCAAAATTTGTCAATTTGCAATTTTTTTTCTCTTGCATACCTGCAAGAGGTAAAAAATTTTGAAACATCCAATGGTACTATCTGGACCATTGAAAGACATGTTACTTGTAACAGCAAGAACGTAGTTTATTATTTAAAATGTTTATCGTGTAATGGCCAAGCAACATATACTGGAAAAACAAACAATTTGAGAAATCACATAAATGGTCATATATCAAGTTGCAGAACCGGCTATTCAACTGACGATTTGAAGACCATGTGTATGGTTGCTAACGTTTAAATAATAAAATAACAGAACCGTTTTTCCAACTTTTTGTTTTTCTAGAACTTAAAAGTGATAAAAATTTATTATTGTATGAAAGTCAT